TATATAAGAAATAGTATTGGACAAAGCACTAACCCTGTGGTAACTCCATTAGTAACCCATATAAATGACTTCATCACATCAGTTTTCTGTTTTTTATTTTTTTAATTTTGGTCTCTAACAAGGGAAATAAATGTCCAGAATGTGAGTGTTCACTAAATCACAAGGAGGATTAGTTCCTTATCTCCTTAGAGTGTATTTCCCAAAATGTCAGCAACCTCTGATAGTTGGAGGGTGAAGCAGTGAGGAGCGCTGGAGTGGGAGGTTTAATCTTGGTGAAGAGGAGGGGATGAAGAGACGGGTACGCTATGTGCCATCCAGAGAAGGGAGAGAGGGGGGCTGGGGAGTAGAGAAGAGTGTGAAGGAGATGGAGAAGGTTCTGATGAGGTTACTGGGGATGAGATGGGGTGTCAAAAGAGGGGCCGGGGGAGAGAGGGAAGAATGTGCTCCTACATTGCTGACATTCCTGCCTCATTGTGACAGGCTAATGAAACTCAGGGATGCTGCATGGAGCCCAGAGACAAGAGCAGGAGCAGAGCTGGCTAATAGATGCTGAACTTACAGACTGAGGAAACCATAGAGAATCATCACTGCTCTGATGAAGATGGGCCCATGTGAAAAATCTGATATAAAACACAGAATGGGGAAAAAAAAAGAAAGATTTGTTTAGGCTTTATTATTACACATGATTTTGTTTCTTGTTTTCTCATGTGTATTTGTTTGTCCTTTGATATTTTTAATTTGTTTAATTAAAACAAATTAAACAAATTTAATTTTGTAATCTATATCACTGGCAGATATAGATTAAAATTTTCTTGAAAAGTTTTCAAAAGTCTGAAATACGAAACTCTGGACTGATATCAGAAGAGACAGTACAGCATGGGAAAATATTTCCATTTCCAAACTGTCTGTGCCTCAAAATAATTTAACAATCAAAATGTTTAGACATGAGCACGACCAACCTGGAGCTGGAAGAAAATGATTCAACTTAATAAATAAATAAATAAATAAATAAATAAATAAATAAATAAATAAATAAATAAATAAATAAATAAATACATGTTTCACATATGAATCTGAAAAGTGCGTTTGTATTCAACAACTGGAACACCTGCATTAAAACAAATGTTAACCCCTTCAGAAAAAGCCACAGCTGAGGTTTAAATTTAACTTTAAGGAAATTCTGTTGGCCACACATACAGCAGTAACTTATGAATGAAGTTTAAAAAAGTCAGTTATTCTTCCCCTGAACAGAGAAATAAATGTTTTAAATATTTTTATTTTGAGCTTTAAAATCATCATTAAAGCAAAGCTGTCTCTGTCTTTATGAAGGTTGAACTACAACTTACTGAAAAGGCACACAAGAAACATAATTATTTATTATTCACTAAGCAATTTAAAAATATACTAACACCAGATGCTAACTTGGAAAACTACCTAATTAGAGAAGAGAATAAAATTTTGGGAGTTCTGCTGTGTAAACTAGTTTTTGTTGGTGAAGTAATTTGATTTTTCTATTTTAATAGGTGAATATATTTATAAATAGTTTTCCTTCCTTTGCTTCTTTCTTTGTGTAGTTTTGCTGATGGTGTTTAGCCATCGCTCGTCTTCAGTCTGTAAAGCTCTACAGTGAACATCAAAGTGAATGAAGAGCATCCTGCCATCCTCAAACATGTCATCTTCCTATTAGCTCAGTGACACATCCTTCCCCTTCTCCAGTTTCCGTCTGTCATCTTGTCTTTGATGCAGAACGCGGCGCCTCTAACCACAGCAGACCCTGTGGGCCCCGGACTCCAGGGGCCCGGCTGAGCTCCACTGGGCCAGTCACATGGCAGCGGTGGAGGGTCAAACATCTGCTGAGCTCAGCTAACGTTGCTAATACATGTTATCATATATGTGATGTAGCATACTTCCAAACTGCTTCGTTCTGTGGCAGCACTAACTGTCATATGGTATACAAGCTGACTGGCTCAGAGAAGATCTCTCCACTTAGGAACATAGATGGTTATTGGCTCTGTAAAACAGACACAAATTTAACAACGGCCTGATGGGAATTTGTAGCCTGTTACCATCTGCTAACGTGGCGTTCTATCCCGCTGTAAAGAACAGTTTCAGTTTTCTTTTGCATTGCTAAAGTCGCCCACAAACATGTTGATGTGACATCTGTCTGCTGCAAGTTGAAGGTGAGAGAGCTATCACCACTGCTAACATCACAAACTGCATTTCCATTGTGTGTGCACAAACCTTTGTTTATATCCTGCTATGTTGAAGAAATACAATTTTGCAATTGTGGTGTTTCCATTAAATAAGGAAGATAATTAAAATCACGTTAATACTTTTGTTCACACAATAAGTCATTAATAATCATTCTGCATCATAATCCTCCAACCACTTCCTGTCGTCTTCTTCTTCGTGGCTTGCAGCAGTGGCAACATCTGGCTGTTGATCATGTGACTCATGTGACGTGAAAAAATGTTTTCATTGTAGTTTTGCAAAATAGACCAATTGCGATATTGCCAAAACACCACTTGGAACCAGAACTTTTTATTGAAGAATTATCATTTTTTTAAATTGCCGTGTTTCCATTGTGCAAATTTATTTTTGAAATGCAGTGATATGGTCAACGGAAACGCAGACATTGAACTCTGGTTCTACTCTCCAACAGCCAAACCTGAGGGTGTGGCTGCTGAGCTGGATGATGTGTTTACCGTCTCATGTCTTGTTGTCACAGCATGTTTTGTTTTTTCATGAAAACAGGATATTTTGTAGTTATCTCAAGAAAAGCACATGGATGACTCAGCTTCAGTGAGCAAAAAGACAGCCTATATGCAGATAGCGTCTGGATGTGTAAACACTTCAAGTCGCTGCCATGTGACTGGATGATTGCCTGTGTGTTAGCATGCAATTACATACACATAGTGAATAAAATGGCTTGTGGATGTTTGAGCGAGAAATGCTTTTTGTGAATTAAGTCACACTGAGATACAGTAATATAAACACTGAGATTATAACTGAAGAAAACTGATATGCATTACATCAAATCCACCAATAATCACCAAGTGTTTCTTGGATGATAGGATCTTCTATGAATGCAGACGTTCAGACTTTAATCTAACAGTCACTTCCAGATCTGCCACCCAAGCATGACTCCTGACTTCAAACGCGTCTTTGAAGCTTCAGCTCAAAAACTTTTTATGAACGACTCGTCACAGTTCCAGAGGCAGGAAACCCCACAGAGTCTCCCACACCCTGATGCTTATCTCATCTCTCCGCATTTGTCCAGACGTCCCATAGAACGCCAGTGGAGTTAAATGACATCCCCTGAAGCAGTTAGCAGTTACATGCTAACACAGTGTTCTAACAATGAAAGTGTTTAGCTTATGTGCTTAGCATTAAGAAAAGGATCTGGAGGAGGTCCAGTTATTTCCTGTCAGTCAGAGATTTGGAGCCACATGAATGGAAACTCTGCAAAAAGAAAAGGGCAGTGGAAGCAATTCCTGAAACAGTTGGGAATATTCGTTGCCGTGGAGACAAGCAGCCAAATGAACTCAGAGGTTCCTGCAGATTTCATCTGAAGTTAAACACGGAGCCAGTTAGACCAACAAGAACATTTCTGTAAGAAGTCACATTGCTGTTGTTGCTGGATAAAAGGCTCACCTTTTAAAATCCATCTGCAGATAAAACATGTGAATGTCCTCAGTTTAGATCACACTGATAGACTGTCCTGATGTGACACTGTTCCAAAACACACCTTCTAACTTCCGACCAAATTGAAACACTTTCAGACATTCTGCCTGCTGATCTCTGAAACCGTATTTGTCTTTCTAAAGCTTCATGAACTGTTAGCTCAAAACACGTTAATGTTTGGTCTGGACCACATCTTGCTCTGTCTCTTAAAGATACATTCAGAAAGATTTTAGTCTTCACACATTTTCTTTTTGTCCTTAACTTGAAGAGTTTCCTCTAACATCACTGAAAGATAAAATGTTAGGTTTTGCATAACTGACTGGATTAACAAAAGCAAGTAATTCCTGTCAAGTATCTCAACTAAAGATGAGTCACTGTGTCATATTCCAGGCCGGTGCCGATGCAGGAAGGGACAGTTAGAGGACAAAATTAAAGGATGATCCCATTAATTTTAATTTGACCGTTAATGTTTTTTCCATATCTTTCTTTTTCTAAAGTTTTGCTGTTTTCTTTGGAAATGAAGCATTTCATATGTGAATATGAACCAATGAAACTCATTCTAGCTTTTATAGAACTTAAACCTTTCCACATTGTGTCACACTACAACCTCAAGTTGTACTTTATGAAATTTTATGTGAGAGACAAACAAGTAGCATAATTGTATAGTGTAAAATAATATAAAATGTTTTGCTTTTTTCTTCTTTTTCATAACTATTCTATGGAAGTCCATTTCTGCCAATTCAAATCCCAACAGGAAGTCATGAAAGCAGGTTTTAAACTTAAAATTATGAGAATAATTTTGATTTGATTATATTCAGATTCTGAATCATAATTATGAGATAGGAAGTTACACTTTATCTCTAAGAAAACTTGCTAATACATGCAAGCCTTCCAGAGGAGTTGAACATTTTTGACTCTTGAAATATCCATGTTTTGTTTTTATTTTTTTCTTAAAATTTTCTGAGATTAATTGCAAAATTGTCTTGTTTTTTCTAGCAAATTTGCAACTTTTCAACTTTGGATCTTTCCTTGTTTTTCTAGAATATTTCTGATATTTTTTTTTTTTAGCAGAAATGCTCTCCTAATTTTGATTTTTTTTTTATCTTGGGTGGCTCGAATCCGCTGCCATATTCTCCAGATCGGACCACATCAGTGCTGATGTGACCCCACGCCCTGGAGGAACTGACCATTTTAGAACTGAATCCAAACCAAGGGGAACACATTGTCTCCTGGTTTCCTTTGTTATTCAAAGTGTCCCAGCAGCAGCAGAAAGTCCAGGAGCGGTGGGATTGGACTGCTCTGGGTCAGCCCCTGCTTTCTCATGATAAGGAAGGCAGGGCCGAGCTGCTGCTCTGCAAACAGCTCAACTCTTTGGAAGAGAGCAGGGCCGGCTGGAGCACAATACAGGACGGAGCCTCTGTGGGAGAGCGACTGAAGAACAACGGGGCAGCCAAGGAGACCACAGAAATACTCTTCCCCAAATCCCCAAGTCCGCACAGAGAGAGGAGACAAAGACGGTGCAGAGAGCAACAAAAGCATTCTTTGCTTTCAGTTCAGCAGCAAAAGAGACAAAAAAAAAATAAAAATAATAAACTGAGCAAGATCATTTTCCCTTGAGATCCAAATTGAAGGAGATAGGCGTGACAGTTGCATTTGTAATCAGAGCAACATCTCCAAAAAACAAGGTGAGGGCCAGAGGAGCTGTGCTGCATGAAGGACGGATCTGTCTGGAGGACAACGAACTCAGAGACAGGATGAGGGCGACGCTGACCGTCACCTGGCTGCTGCTTTCACTGAGTGAGTACACCACCACACCAACTACACGGCTCACGTTTCAGCACCCATTCTTCAGAGGGGTCAGGGTGTGAAGGAGCATGCAGGATGTGCATCACTGCTGGGCAGCAACAGGTGTGCATCGGATGAGTTTGGCTGCAGCACAGGCTTTGAAGGTTTCCCCAGTCCAATTTTCTGACTTCTCAGGTTGTCCAGAAGAGATTTCCAGTTAAAATTGGACAAAAACACAACATAAAGTACAAGTTGATGTAATCAAGAAACACTTTTTCTGTACATTCGTACTTGGATTCCTACCGTCACATTTCAGAAAATTTTACAGAAAGTCAAAAATTTTGGAGGAATTAAGTTAAAATATGTGAACGTGTGCTGTTGGGTGGGTTCATCTGAGAGGCTGTGGGTGGAGGAGTGAGAGCAATGCTAACAAGTTGTGATAATTGTGGTACAGTATAGAGGTTCAGTTGTTTCATATGGTTTATTGGTTATTGTTAAAATATAAACTTTGCAAAACTATTCACAGCCTCTAAGCTTTTCCCCTTTTCGTCACATAACAACCACGACTTAACCTGTCACAATAAGCAATTAATCAGTTAATCAATTAATTAATTAATCTCATGATAAATTAAAATGAGCTCGCTCAGTGATTTCCATTCTGATTATGCATATTTTTTGAAGCAAGAGACATCATAATTCATTTAGTTATTGTTTTTGGTTGTTGAGTTGTTGGATGTTTAAAATATCTTCCAGCTCCAGTGTGGAGAGTTCAGTACTAAATTATTAGTGTTTGAGCCTTGCCTTATTAAACCATTTTATTCTTTTTTTAATAAATAACAA